TTTTTTCATTTTCATTAATAAAAATCATCTGATAATAAAAGGATTCTGAATTTAATGGAGAATCTGGTATATAAATAAATAATAGACTAGCCCCATCACAGGCTCATTCAGTACATGCTTTGTGGAATATTTTATTGTATGTTTTATAAATACACACGCATTGCTCCAGGCCCTGAGGACTCCACAGGAGGTAAAAAAATGAAGTTCCATATGGAGCTTACAGTCCCTGAGGAAATCAGAATATCACACCAATTGGTAATAAAGGCTACCAGATATAAGGTACATCAGGACTAGAGACCAATAGAGTGCCCGAGACTCACATACTAGAGTGAAGGCATTTTTAGGAGCAACCTCATGATGCCTCTTTCAACCTTTCTACAGAAAGGTTTATGTGTTTTTATTTTTGTTTTTTATTTTCTTTAAAGATTTATTTATTTATGCATACAGAGTTGGGGCATAGGCCAGAGGTGCAGAGACGGTGAGAGAATTCACCAGAGACAGAGTGGGGAGCTGAACAGGCAGATCGACGAAGTACACTGTTGAGGGGAGCAGCGGGCAGGTCAGGAGAGGTCTGCTGTGCCATGTGGGTCACCTCTGGGGTGGGGATCAAACTCATGCTGAAGTGACTTTAGCTTTTCTTTTTTTTTTTAAAGATTTATTTATTTGTGCATAAGAACTGGGGTGCAGGCCAGAGTTCAGGAGCGGTGAGAGGCTTCACCAGAGACAGAGTGGGGAACAGAACAGGCAGATCGATGAAGTACACTGCTGAGGGGAGCAGCGGGTGGGTCAGGGGAGGTCTGCCACACCATGTGATCACCTCCAGGGCAGGCGGGAATCAAACTCATGTGGAAGAGGATTTAGATTCTCAGTGCTGTGCTTTAACCTGCTGTGCCACCAGGGAGGGCCGGCTTTAGCTTCTTAATGCTGTGCTTTAACCCACTGCCACCAGGGAGGGCCCGCTTATGCATTTTTAATTGAGATATTTCTCTTGTACTGAAGGTAACCACCAGGAAGTACACAAAAGTGTTTAGAAGCCATATAATGTCTAGATAAATGTGGCTGCCTCAGCTTTCTGCTTTTGTCTTGTAAACATTAGACCTGGTTTCCAACCTCATGGACATGTGACGAACTGGATGACCAGAGCTCACCTAATATTAGTCATTATTCTTCATCCCCTGTCAATGTTACAGGGAAAGAGGCATGCCAACAGCCCCTTCTGCTGACCACTGAAATCAAATTTGTTTAGGCTGATCTCTGAAGTTAAACAGAGTTCATCCTGAAGGCTGAAGAGCCTGCTTTCTGAGCCAAGGAAGTCCTAATAACAAATGTGTGAGAATGATCACTGATTATTCAGGTAATGGAATGTCTGTATCTAAAGGCCACTGGGCTTCCGACCTGGAGGGTCCACTCCAGGGCCCACACTCTTCTCCACTCTGATTTGTTGGCAGAATTATCTTAGATTTCTGTCCATATCAGCACACTGAGACCCTGTATTATTGTCCCAATAGTAGCAGTATTAAGTGCCATTTAGATGAGAAACCTAAGAGACCATATTAAACAAAGGGCTTTTAACAAAAAAATAAAGACCGAGGGTAGGTTTTGAATCCTGGAAACCAGAGAAGAATAGGTGAAAGGTGTAGTCATATTCCAGGTGACAAATGGTTACTATGGGCATTAGAAAGTGGATATTTTATTTTTAGCATGCATATTATATATTATATATGTTATACATGTAAAGGTATATTAAGGATGTAGCACAAAAATGTTTCTTCTTTAAAGATATTATTGGAGGGCCCTCCCTGGTGGCGCAGCGGGTTAAAGCACTGCACTGAGAATCTAAAGCCACTTCCACATGAGTTCGATTTCTGCCTGCCACATGGCGCAGCAGACCTCTCCTGACCCGCCCGCTGCTCCCCTCAGCAGTGTACTTCGTCGATCTGCCTGTTCTGCTCCCCACTCTGTCTCTGGTGAAGTCTTTCACCACCCCTGAGTCTCTGGCCTGTACCCCAGTTCTGTATGCACAAATAAATAAATCTTTAAAAAAAAAAGATAGTATTGGAAATGGAGATAAGAGACATGGAAATCTACAAATTCTGACTTTAGTGGCTAAACAGCTCATGATGTCATTATCAAACAGACAAAAGAACCCACAGTTCTCTAGTCCATAGCAAGGTGTGTACGTATGTGTTGGTATATTACTACATTATATTATATCTATTACTATATTATACAAAGAAGCATAAATTAGTATATTACTACATCGAGCCTCAGAATCTGCATGCTCACTGTAAAGTCATAGATAGATCCATGGTTTCACCCTAATCCTCCAAATTTTTAAGATGAAACATTATATTTGTGAAATATATTTAAAAACATGTTTGGGTGAGGGAGCACTATTGGTGGGTGTGGCGGAATTGCATACTATTTAGAGTAAAAACCTATACCCGAAGATATATACTGTGATGTAAATCAGCATTAGCTCAGTAAACATAACTTAAAAAAATATATCTCAAAGCACTATACTCAAAATAATAAGTGACTTTTTTATTCAGACTTGAGAAAATGATCAAGTACTCTGAATTTCTATTCCACACGCTTATATAGTAAAATATTCACTGGACTACCCTTTTATGTAATTAGAGTACATTTCATTGATTGGAAAGTTTTTAATATTTATTGCCATCATTGCACTGCCATGACAAATTTGAGCTCAGTGATGAGATGTGATAGTGATTATTATGTCTTTGATAATCTTTTTAGTGAAAGTGAGAGATTTTATTTTTTGTATGTAGGTTTCAACAAATTATTGATCCTCCAGTTCTATCCTTTAACCCCAAATTACACAATCTCTATTCACTAGCATACAAGGACTACACCTAACATTATGTCCTTTTCAGATCTAAGACCCATGCTTGTTTGGTTAAGAGATTTCCTTCCAACTCTTTACTTGCATTTAGAAGAACGTATATTCTGACATTTCACGGATACAATGATAGGGACAAATTTTCTTTCAACAGAACTATTTAGGGAAATGTTCCCTGTTTCTGGCTGCCAATTCTTTAACGGTCTAGCCATAAATATAAACAGCTTTTGCATGTGCCTCTAACAGCAATAACATTCAGGGGAATCACTCATTGTTTTTGACACAAATCAAATTTAATAGCATTTGGATACTTCAGGACAAAAATGAAAATGTCCTCAAAAAACAATAACATTTAAACTTAATGTGCATGGTGTACAGGTGACACTGAGCAGGATCTAGTGTCTTCAGGACATAAGATAGTGCCATAAATATGACACCATATATTCCAATAAATGATTCTCTAAAAGGCTGAGTATGTTTATAGGTTTAAGCGCAAGTTGTATCTGTATATCAAGATGGCATATAGGGGTCCTGCCTGGTGGCCAGTGAGTTAAAGCACAGCACTATGAAACTATCCACAGCCACTGCACCATGAGTTCGATTCCCAGCCAGGGAGGTGACACACATGGTGCGGCAGACCTCTCCTGTCCCACCCACTGCTCCCCTCAGCAGTGTATTTCAGTCAATCTGCCCGCTCTTTTCTTCAGCTCTGTCCCTAGTGAATCCTCTCATCCTCACATCCCTGTCCTGAACCCTAGAGTTCTTGTATGCACAAATAATATTTTTTAATGTGCATGTGAATGTGCATCCCTGTTCTCATGATGCTAAACTTTGGAAAATGGAAAATGAAAATTCAAGGATATATGTCACTACTGGAAAATAATAATGACACTGATCATTATTATTAGTATATACAATTCATCCCACTGAACTTTTTGGTTAAAGCATAAAATTGCTATCTGAAGAACTCTTCTATTTTATCCAAGGGATTTAGAACTTGCTATGATTTAGATTTCAAAACCTAACTAGCAAGATTAAAGACACATCAGAGGTTCTGCAGGCAATTCTTTGAGTCTTTGCCATACGCTCTAATAGCCTTGGCTCAGTTGTTCACACTGATTTTCATGCCAATAGGTTGGGCACAGTCTATGTGACTGGGCCCTATAAGATCTTCTCCTTTATTTTATTTTATTGCTCATTTGCTTCCCTTGTTTGATTTTGATTTGAAATCTAAACTACAGAGGAGGTGAAAAGGGAACAATTTTCGGTGAGAAATTGTTCACACAATAATGTTCCTCCTGAACCTTTACAGAAGCATAAAAAGAATTTCTCAAGAGGCAAATAGCAGGGGTCCAGGTTTGATTTAAGTGGATCCAGACATGTCTAGTCATGTCAGACAAACTAGTGAAACAAGTTCTCTGGCCAACTTAAACATTGGCTAAGAAACTTTAGGATTGAATCCATTCACACTTGATCTTCAAAGAGGCCTGACCCCAGTGATGCATTGATAAATACACCTAAAAGAAAACCTCTCTGGAGATCTTTTGGGGAGAGAAAAAGGAAGAAAGAGCTAGGACCCCAAGGAACTGAGTAATGCAGCAAAACCTGACAGAAGAAATTTCTATCAATAAGGCGTCTTGTCTGTTATTTTCGTTTAGTCTCAATATGTTCTCAAACTTGTTTAACATAGTGACCTCGAAAACTCTGTATCACTTTGACGGGTAACCACCCACCTCGAAGCTTCTTAAGTAATTTGTTTATGTTACTCACACAGGATGTTGAAATAAAATCAAGATATCAAAAGAAACCAAACTATTTTTTTGGCAAATGATTTATTAGACAAAAACAAAATACAAGTTGTCTGTACATTCTTGTTACCAACGTCACATCACCCTAACGGTAGTAAAAAATGAAGCCATAATGAAGAGGTCAAACAGGAAGGTTACCGCTATTGAATATACATTTAGATGATGGATTCAGGGGTCAGCAGGCACAAATACTGAGGGAACAGTTTAACCAATCATAAATAGCTACCCACTGACTTTGGAGACAACCTGAGAATGCTTTTGGGAATGAAAGCACGAGGTAGACCACACCTATTGGAAGGTTTACCCCCTGCATGGAACTTCAGTAGTGTTCAGTAGAAGCCAGAGAAGCCAGACCCTCCCCAGCAGGATGGGTGGCAGCAGCCATATCTGTAGCCCCCAAAGCCAGAGCCATACCCATAGCCTCCGTAGCCTCCATAGCCACAGCCACAGCCCAGGCCACCGAATCCTCCGTAGTCATAGCCGCGGCCTCCATAGTAGCTGCCGTAGTAGCTCATGATGTCAGGAGAGGTGAGTTGTTTGCTGCTCAAGTCAAGAATCAGACTGTGACTGTCAACCTGCTCCAGGGAGGCCGATATACCCTGCTCAGAGAATGTGCTAGAATACATGACCTCTGAGGGTGTGATGCCACAAATTATCCTCGCTTGATACAACTCATTAGGCTGATGTTTTCTGACACCCCTCACGAAGAATGTTAAAACTTGCTTGGCTACCTGGTTAGGCTTCTCCGGAGCACATTGTTTTAATTTCCTGTGAAGAAATAGTTGTTTTTCAAAGTATTAACATAATAACCCTCAATATAATTAAGATCACTTGACCTCAATGCCATTAAATATTGATGAATTTCTGATGAAATAGCTTCTCATTACAGGCTTTCTGGTGATTTGTTACACACATGATTCCACAAAATATCAAGGAAAACTCAAGACTCTCGTATTTATCAATTCCTTCAAAATGAATGCATGCAGTAGCGTCAGGAGCAAAGGGTGAGTCTCTCTTCAGAAGGTAAAAGAACATATCGTGTCAGGAAGACTTGGCTCACCTGCTGTGAGTGCCTGAAGAAACAACAACAGTTACTGATTCTGAGCACCTTAGAACCATGCACAATTCATTGACTTATTCTTGGCTTTCTACTTGTTTTGGTTTTAAAGTTTAGTGTAATTGGAGTCAAAAGTGCAGAGACTAACTGTGAGCAAGACTGCTAATGAGATAACAATTCTTTTCTTCATTCCAGACCACTCTCCTAATGTCACTGCAACGACAAATGCTCACCATACTTGCCGCCACAACCCATGTCCCCTCTCCCTTCTGTCCTTTATCATCGATCCATGTATCTCACGTCTTTTTACAATTCCACCCAATATCTTCCTTCCATGACCCATTGCTGCAGCCAGATACATCTATGATACAGGTGACTATGTTTACCCTCAACCAAGAAGCTCAAGGCACATTGCCTTCCTCCTGGCTATATCTCCATCATCAAAATATTACTCTTGCTCTCATTTCCTCTTTACCAAATTTCTGCCCAGTTTTTCTTTCCAGGCAATTTCTAACTAGACTTTCCTAAGAAGTGAACTAGACCTTTTTTAAGATTTTTCAATAGTGTTATTTGGGTAAAATATATTCCAACTTCTAAAATCATCTGAAATTTTCTAAGGATTTATAAAACCTGCAGTAGTTAACAAACATGTAAATATGTGACAACATTGAAAAACAATTAAAAAAACAGAATAGACTTTGGACACATATGGCCTCATATTCATAGTTCCTCACCTTATCCCAGTGAGTGCGATGTCGATACCCAAAGCTGATTCTATGCCTGAGTAAGCCCTAAAGATGACACCCTATCTTAAAATTTGGAACTCAAAAGTTTTGTTTTCTATGTATATAACCATATTGCTAAATTATACTGATACTTGCTAGTAATATTGGAAGGACATTTTTTTTAAAATTTATTTATTTATTCGTACAGAACTGGGGTACAGGCCAGAGATGCGGAAGGTGAGAGGATTCACCAGAGACAGAGTGGGGAGCAGAACAGGCAGATCGTAGAAGCACACTGCTGAGGGGAGCAGCAGGTGGGTCAGGAGAGGTCTGCCGCGCCATGTGGTCACCTCCAGGGCAGGCGGGGATAGAACTCATGCGGAAGTGGCTTAAGCTTCTTAGTGCAGTGCTTTAATGTGCAGCACCACCGGGGAGGGCCGGAAGGACATATTTTTCAATGAGTTTGTTCACTTACCTGATCCAGTTTTCTAAATAGTGTAGCAGTTAATTAGCTTTCAACAATAAGTTTTTAATGAATAGTATGACTTTAACTTACATTAAAGCAAGGATCAAGCACATCATTATCTGAATAACTTACTGGCTCTTCTAGAAATGTCATAAGATTAACTTAAAATCCAAAATTCAAGGTATTATGGCTTCAGGGTGTCATTTAACTTAACATTCAATGCATGTACTACACTAGTCCAGCTTCGTTTCATTTTTAATCCTTATTAATCCTTATTGCAGGAATTCATCCAATTGATAAAATATATTTTTATTTTTAGTAAATCATTTAGAATTGTGGGTGCTTAATGCTAAATTACATAGAATGTAGGGTTCCACACTTTCTTGTATAATACTGTCAGAGCACGTGATCATGATTAAGCAATAGTTGTTTTTGTTTTTAATTCATAAAGCCATCTCTATATATGGAAATGACATGGGGTAGAAATGAAAAACTTCAATAATGCAATAAATGCTAAATGTACTTTCAAAGAAGAAACATGACTCTAGAATGCAAAACTTATAAATAACCATTGTTTGGACACAAAAATAAAAATTGATAAATATGAAACAAACCTGCTTTTTCCAACATAAACAACTAAAATATTCAAATTGGAAATTCCTTTGGTACTTATAATCTTTCTGTCTATTCACTGGATCAAAAACAGGTTTGAATTATTAACATTTTTAAGAAGTTTTAATTCATGATCAAAATTTTATTCATGTTGATGGATATTACATTTCTGTGAAGTAAAGACTCATAAATTCAAGGCATTTTTTTTCTCACTTAGGAGGTTAATCAATATAATTTTAAACAGAGCACAATTATGATAATATTGACCATGCTAAGAATGTCAACTACAGCAATAACTGTATTGATTACTTCTTCTCAATCCCATGAAGCCTGCCACTGGAGATATTAACCAAAGTAAGGGAAGATAAAAACTCTATTCTAATGAGTCAAACTACATAGCCTGACACAGAAGAATGACTTGGACCTATGTCACCTTTTCATCTCTTTGGGATGCTAAATGGACCTCATAGGCAGTATTGAGTTGATGAAAGAAGTCAAGATGTATTTTGTTAATCAAGAGTTGAGTTTAACATTGCTTATTATTTAGTTACATTCAAAAGCAGATAAATTAGAAGTTGATAGGCACCATTATCTCTATCACAACAACCCAAATGTTCAAGGAGCACAGGAGTTAAACTAAGTAGAGGAACTGGAACTGGTATCCCTGCCATTGACTGATAATCAGATCTTGCAATCATGACAAAACTTTCAAAATGGTTTATTTGACAATGTTCAAGGAGAAATAGAGTCAGCATAGTGTGATTTATATTGATCATAACTACAACTACAACACTGTTCGCTTGAAACCTATCTCGAGCCAGTGTTATGCCAATAATATCTTACTTTGAGAGAGTCAGCATAGTGTGGTAGATTACTAGTACTCAAGACAGTAGGATCCTGACATGAATATTGCCACTAATTGCCAGAGAAAATCACATATTAAGTTTCCCTGCATCTAAGATTATTGAACAGCATTACCAAGTTTAATTGTCTCATTCAGCTGTTCTAGTCTACAGTTTCTTTTTTGTCCTCAAAGTACTTCATTTGTCTAGCTGATACCAAATATCACTAAAGTCAAGTTCATATCATTATCTAAAGATACCATTAAGTTATAGAAAAACAATATTTTTTCAGATATTTTACCTATTCTATTCCTTATTCTAATATTACCAGTCAAATGGCAATTTTGAAAGGGTGAAGTTTTACATGAATGAGATTTACAAATTTTAAAGTTCTGATAAAGTTGTTGAATGGTAATTTTTGTCTTGGGGTCATTCAATGTCTGTCCCGCTGATGATATTTTTGTTTGTATTATCCTTATTGGATCACAAACACATCACTTCAACATTATTGGTGATGGTGACAATGTAAAATAGTGTTTCCACAGGAGGACAGCAGAGATAGTGAATTGAATGACCAGGTTCATGTTTATTGCACCGTTCAACAATACTTTTAGACTAGTTTTACTTTATATGCATAATAAACTAAAGGAAGACAGAAGATTATGAGTAAAGAAAAAGTACAAATATAACTCAAAGATTCACAGAAAAAAATAACTTTCTCTGAAAAGTCAGAAATATGAGTTGTAAGACTGGTGGGAAATCTAATTAAAGTTTCATTTATTTTTCAAGTAATACTTTATTTTACAGTTTTAATGAGTGACTAGCAACTCTAAATAGGTATATCTAATATCATTAATTTTATAAAATATAAAAAGAGGCAGTATAAGTTTTTGAAGGAGGCATAAAATTAATTCCAAGTTTGATATCCACCAAGAAACAGAAATAAGTGATTTGCACACTATGTGAAATAAAATGCATATAGATTTAGAACTCCGTAACTGATATGGTGTGATTGCACTTAATTCTAAAGGTTACTTAGCTACAATCGAGAAAAAGAGTAACGTTCTAGGTTCTGAATTACAGATTCTCAAATGAGACTTGTGTATTTCTATTGTTAGTATTTAAGCACACATACATACATCATTGGGTGTGTTGTACTTCTAACACAAAGACAATAACATTTATATAAATTATGTACACATCATTGAATTGAATAAACCAGAGAAAACATTTTCAAATATCAAATTATGCCATTTATTGGGAATTCCGCATTACATCATCCATTGGTGCCCAAAATCAGGAAGCAAGACGCATGATATAGATCAGCTGATAAATTATCAATTATCTGACATTCTTAGATTTCTCTTGCTAAATGGGCCTAGAGTAACCTCAGCCCACTGACAGGAGACTGTGTTGGCAAATTCATTCATAATAACAGATGCAGGCCTGGCACAGTACTTCAGTAGAAGCGGGAGAAGCCAGACCCTCCACAGCAGGAGGGGCGGCAGCAGCCACACCCATAGCCCCCAAAGCCAGAGCCATATCCGTAGCCCCCAAAGCCAGAGCCGTATCCGTAACCCCCAAAGCCAGAGCCGTAACCTCCACAGCCACAGCCCCATCTGCGGAAGCCGCCACAGCCGTAGCCACAGCCCAGGCCTCCGAGGCCCCCGAAGCCGCCATAGCCGTAGCCCAGGCCGCCATAGTAGTTGCCGAAGTAGCTCATGGTGTCGCGGGTAAAGTGTGTTTTGCTGTTCAAGGCAAAATCCCCAGTGTGAATTTGACAGCTTGGTGGCTTTGCTTATATACTCGGAGCAGAAAGACGTCGGAAAACATGTGACTGTGCTTTTGTACCATTCCAAATTACTTCAGGCAACTCATTAATCTATTTTGGGACACACGGAGAGGCCTACATTCACGGAGGTTTTGAGCTGGCTCGGCAGCAGAGCTAGAATGCCCTTGAACTCCTGTGTTTTAATGAGGGGAAAAAATGTGTTTCAAAGTCCCAAAATAAAAATTCCCCAAATAGAATTCTTCATTACTAAGCATATGACATCATACCGGATGGTGCTTTCTCATTAAATATCTCCTGTCTTTTCACTTCCTCACCATTCTTTGGATTATTCTATTTTACCTCCATCTAAATTCAAAGACACTGATCAAGTTTGCATTGCAAATCTATCAAATTCTTCACATGCCTCAACTGACCCCTCCCTCCCACACGGGAAAACTGGTTTGATTTCATTTCTCAGATTGTCAAATAGCCAATGGGTGTATCAACCCAGGAAAACTTGCTTCGAAAACTGAGAAATGATCCCTAAGAATAAGCTCGTTATTAACTTATTTAATTATATTTATTGAGCTAACATTGGTTTACACGATGTTTTAAAAGTACAGGCTCACACCTCTCACACATGGTTATCACCTACTCCCACAACCGAAGTCTGATATTCCCCACATGGTCCATCGCACCCTGCTCCTCACACTCTGAACCCCTTCGTTCTTTTATATATGTAGCTTTGGGAGTCTTGGCAGTGTGGGAAGAAGTGATATTCTATGTTACTAAATTGTTGACAGAATAAACTTATTTTTTTTAAGATTTACTTATTTATTCATACAGAACTGGGGTACAGGCCAGAGATGCGGAGGGTGAGAGGATTCACCAGAGACAGAGTGGGGAGCAGAACAGTACACTGTGAGGAGAGCAGCGGGCGGGTCAGGAGAGGTCTGCAGGCGCCATGTGGAGCTCCTCTGGGGCAGGCGGGGCTTGAACTCATGCAGAAGTGGCTTAAGCTTAGTGCTTTAACCCGCTGCACCACCAAGGAAGGCCGAGAATAAACTCATTTTTATAATCAGCCTGCGTGTTCAAAAATATTCTCTTAACACTATTCCCCACTTTTTCAGAATGGTTTATGCCCAAAATATCTAAAAACTAAGATTTTGCTCATTTTAGTTACCATAGCTTTCCTCTCTCTACTTCATAATCTACCTTTTGCTTTCCTTACCAAACTACTCTTTCAATCTTATTCTGTCTCCATTGCCAACAAATCCTTGTATAAATGAGATGTGTCACTTTTTCCAGTCAGTATTTTATTTATTACTCACTCATATCTCTATTAAAGTTTGTCATAATATTCATATTTCTATCACACTTTCTTTACCAATTCTATGTGCCCCAATCCCACTTATTTTACCTTAGGGTATCAACCAATATGTTTTTACAACATATTTATTCAGGAAGGTTTTAAGTTTTTTTTTCTTAAATCTATATTCATTGATTTTTATACACACACACACACACACATATACACACACACATGGTAATATTACCTATAGTTACATATTTTATGAATATAAATCCTAATTAATTCATTTTTAAAAATCTTTTAGCATTTTTAAAAATTTTAAGTTTGTGAAGAACTAGGGTATAGACCAAAGGGGTTGGGGGTGAGAGGATTCACCTGAGACAGAGTGGGGAGCAGAACAGGAGGGTCTTCTGAAATATAACAGGCTAGACAAAAACAAGAGAGGTCTGCCTGGCCTCTGGTGGGGATGGAAATCAGGCCCTAGTGGTGATAGTGCTGAGATTTAACCCCTAGGTCACCAGGGAGACCCACTAAATAATTTCTATTAATATGTTAAGATGGTGTCTTAAAATCCTGATGCCTTGAATATCTCCAAAAATGAATATTCAGTGATACCATAAGAAGGAACTGATTTTTCCTTAATTCACTCTGAAGATAGTACAACCAAACCCAAGTTTAAGCATACTGCTCAAGTTCAAATCCCAGTAGAATGTGACAATGCCTTGGGTTTAGTTCCTTAGAAATAAGTTTACTTCATACCACATTAAACATGTTACTAAAGGTTTGATTTTGTTGTGTTTGTTTTGTTTTGAGATGTAGAAGTAATATTATTGATAGCATATTTTCCTCACTGAATGTTAATCGTTCTTCTAAATAAAGTCTATTTATTGAATAAATGAAAGAATGAAGTTTATCATACTTTGTAGTAATTTCTAATAATTTTCAGGTTTTAAAGACTATTTTATCCAATGGGTCTTTTGTTGTTTTTGTTCTTAATGAGTCATTGTAAAGTGAAACATCTCAAATAAATCTAGTAAGGTTAAGACTTAGGAATGCTTAGGTAAATCTGCTGGATTGCTTGACTGTTGTAAGAGCTAACTTATGATGTGTCTGATATAAGTAGTTATGTCCATATGAGGCAAAAGCAATAGAGTCAAACTGCAAAAACTCAAAAATGAAATGTGTTGATTTATGTTCTTTCAAGGAAAAAATAGTAAAAGATATGAAGATATATTTCACAGTGAAATATGTATGCACACATATACATATGTGTCACCTTGATACCTACATGCATATGCATATATCTTACATATACATGTGATTGACAATAAAAGTTGTAAAATATATAAATCAAATATTTTTCCTTTCTGTGTTACAAAGATAATTACTTTTAGGCCCTCCCTGGTAGTATAATGTGTAAAGTCCCAGCACTATGAAGCTATCAACAGCCATTGCAGCAGAATTCCATCCCTGGCAAGGAAGTGACCCACATGGTGCAGCTGACCTCTCCTGTTCTATCCATTGCTCCCTTCAGCAGTATATTTTAGTAGATCTGCCTGTGCTGCTCCCCACTTTGTCTCTGGTGAACCCTCTCACCACCCACCCCACACCTCTACCCTACACCCCAGCTCTTGAAATCATAAATATTTTTTAAAGATTATTAATTTTATATATTAATTAATTTTGTAAACTGAGAAGTATGTATTTTGAGAAAGTTTTGTTTTTCTCCTAATTCAAAGTACTCAGAGACTTGCATAATTATTTCTTTCTCATTTTCTTTTGGGCACTTTTTCAAAGAAAAAAAATGGGTTGATTTTGAGGTTCAGATCTGGTGGTGTGTAAAATGATGAAAATAAATTCTTCCTCTGGTCAAATAGTTTTTATCTGGAAGCTAAGGAAACTGATACTTTAAATTCCAATGTGATTCTATACTCAGACACAAGTAACAATATCTGAAGGGGGGAGGGAATCTATTCCTCTAAAATGCAAACAACATTGTAAACCAATGTTACCTCAATTAAAAAACATAATAACATATGCTAATGTGTTTTACAAGGAGTATCATAAATGTTTCTCAATCTAATGACTTTTTTTTTTTGGTATTTTTAGCCCCATATGGCATATCCACAGACCATTGAACTATTATCTCATTATCATGATTATCTTGGGGCCACACAACTCTATGTTGCCTGCTCTGTACATTTAAAATCTATAACACTAGACAGATTGACTGAGAGGATAGTGAGAACAGAGGGCTGAAAAATATTACCTAGATGGGAACTAAGGGCATGTGTCTTTCAAATAAGGACTTTAATCTTTTGATATAGACATAGTTAGTTATATAGGTGGGTAGGTAGACAGCTAGCTAGATGGATGGATGGATGGATGGACAGACAGACAGACAGGTAGGATGGGTGGATGGATGGATGGTTGGATATGCCGATGTACAGATAGATAGGTGATAGCTAGCTAGCTAGGCATCAACCAAATGCCATGTCCTGTCCAAGATGACAGGTAGGTAGGTAGGAAGATAGATAGATGGATAGATAGATAGATAGATAGATAGATAGATAGATAGATAGATAGATAGATAGATAGATAGATA